TTTTGTTTTTAGACAGGGGCAAACCAGTGTAGTGTAGCCCCTGTTGATCTGAGTGGCTAACCAAAAATTTGGGGGGTTATAGGTGTTCCAGTTGGGAATAGAAATTTACAATGGAATCTGGTGTTTTCTTCAAAAACAACAAGGAGTCTGGTGGCACCTTAAAGACTAACCGATTTATTTGGGCATAAGCTTTTGTGGGTAAAAACCTCATTTTACCCACGAAAGCTTATGCCCAAATAAATCTGTTAGTCTTTAAGGTGCCACCAGACTCCTTGTTGTTTTTGTAGATACAGACTAACACGGCTACCCCCTGATACTTGGTCTTTTCTTTGATGCAACCTTGTTTTTTGTAAGCAACATACAGTCCTTTTTCTGTGAACACACAGGGAATCAAGTAGCAGGATACAAACAGTTCCCTTGTTTGTGGTTCCAAGCCTGCCTTTCCAGTCAACAATCTGTGCCCAAAAAGCATTTTCTGTTAGCTTTATCTCAGGGCTAAATCACTGTGTTTCCATGCTGTATCTGCTTGGCTTTTTCTCTCTGCTGTTTTGCTTCTGTCTGACTCTGCTTGTGTAGTCTCTCTCTGTCCCACCCAGACACACTCACATATGCAAAGACTGTGGAGCTCTCTCCTCAAAGTGTAAGTTATTGGATGGGCTTGCACTCCCCCTTGTTTTGGGTGGGGCTTTTTAGCTATTTCTCAGCTATCGTAAATAAGGGGTGGAGGTCAAAATAGTTTAGAAGAGGTTTAACCCAATCAATTTAACAGTATTTTCCCCTAATGTTATTCTCAGAAACATTCCTTTGTTTTAACTGAAATTAAAATGAAAAACCTTAGCCTTAGCCAGACACCTGGCATGGAGAATTTCAGCCCAAATGGTTTAAGTTTGGCAAAGTGATAAGCAACTGAAAACAGATTCTTATCATGGGAAGTGTTGGCCACCTTAAAACTAGGTGGTGCTTCCAGGCCCTTCTATAATGAATCATTCACAGATTAAAATCAATAGGCCTGACCTTCAATTACACTACTTCACTCCCTTTATACACCCTTGAGAAGACCCTGCACATGGAGCCTCCTCAGCCATTGTAGTGCTGGATAAGGGTGCTATGCTAGCCTTGCTCCAAGCTCCTGCATGTAAGGGACATATCAGGAGCATGAGGAGGAGGGATGGGGAGCACACTGCACTACAGCTATTCTGTTCTTCTTGAAGCCTGTAGGAAGCTGTGGGAACCAGAATGCAAGTTAAACCAACTCAGTGCTGCTCTAATTTGCACTAGTCAACACAATGGCCCCTGAATGGTCCCATGAATCTATAGGGAGCACAAATGTGACTTAGAGCCACTTTCTCGCACAACCCAACCCCCCCACCCCTTTTTCCAACTAATGGACCAAAATAACTGAGAATCAAGTCCAGTCTGTCAGATCGACCATCTTCCAGCCCAAAGAACAGTCAAAATCTCCCAAGGCAGACTTGCCATTCTACAAAATCTGGTCCCTAACATAGCAGATGTTGATAGGTAAACAGGGCGACTAGGATGTTCATAAAACTCCCAATAAGAAACAGAACACCCCAGCCATC